TGTGGTTGATCTTGCTAGACGATCAAGATTACAATTATCCTGATCTTACTTTCGCCTCCGGCGTACCTTTCATAGAGGATCCGTACTAGCGTTAGCGCCATTCTTCTGTGATAAGTAGACAGACACCTTTTCCATATAGTTGCGTGCATATATGGTTATTACTACCATTATTATTAAAGATTATAAAAATCATTAACTCGCAAAAACGCATTTACGTTACATCGCCGAAAACACATCAAATATAATGAACGCCATGAATAACATTAAAAACAGCGATATACCGTAAAAGATACCCAAAGTATAATGTGGAATGTCCGCCTGACAGTTCGAAAGCAGCGCGAACGGTTGTTGTTATACATTGATGGTTTCTCGCCATGCACGTAGCAACCATTGGTCATTTGTTAAAAAATCAGCTGATAAACTGTAGAACATTGTTTCTACTACTAGAATCGAGACTGTTCGACCACCCGGAGAACAGTTTAGGTATCTGATCGAAGATGGCGATAAATGCAATTTTTACCCGTGTGGTAAAAATTTGTAAAAAAATAAAAACTTTTTTTTTTTTTTAAATGACTATATTCTCAACATTTCTGCTATCGATTATGTTAGTTCTGAAAAATAATGACTACACCAGTAAAAATTATCACCTGCCGTGTGGCGGGCGTTGACCCTTCAACTAATGCATCGTGTGTTCCTTTCGCGTTCCAAAAGATACCGGTTTTTGATAAAAGCAATAGAATCTTGCATAGACATATTTTTCTCTAAAGATCTGACGGTGCTTGCTCGTGCGATAGTACCTGTATGTTGTTGAGCTAATAGGGAACCCCGTCATGGCCGTCGTCTCGCCTCCCCCGCCGCTTATGCTTGCAATGGGTCATACGCTCTCGTTTTCCACGATGTAGAATGTACTTTTTGTAATTACTAGCACAAAGTTACCGCAGAAACTACTATGTCAACTACGTTATTGTTGTAGGGTATTGTTTACAGGGGAGTAGTGGACTGCCGATTGCGTTTACCTAACGTCGGACGTATACTCTGCGGCGTGTTGGTCGATCAACTTACGCGAGAATAAAACTTGTACTACTCGTATAGAACAACGACAATAGCTACATTATTGCGAACATGGTAACAGTTGTTGACAAGGCATCCCGCTGGGCCACAGAACTCCGTCGTCTCGATGAGGTAACGAGTGAGATTCATGATTGCTAAAGCAACGATTCTGATCGCTATAAGCATATCGGTACATTATTCCTACTCGGCCAAATAGAAAATCGCCTACTTTCTACAGAGGCCTATTTATCTTTGTCGATTTAAATTGCTACATTCTACTTGTGTGGTGCGTACCAATACAGCTTATTGGAGCACAATCAATTTAAAGAAGTTTTACGTTTGGAGAGAGCTATACCTTCATTCATACATGCCTTCTTATAGTTCTTAGAGATAAGCAAGGTATCACCGTCGTGTATAACGTGTGATTCTCCTACGAGCACAATATAGAAACACAAGTTGGTGAGCGCTGTTTAAAATGACATTGGCCGGCAGTAGCAGTGGCAGCAGAAGGAGCAACGCCTTGTCGTTAATGCGACTCAGCGTATTTCGAACAAATGCGAACCATTTTGCCGGTCTACCGGCGCCAACCGCTTCAACCTGAAATTTATCCTCGATAATCAGTAGCCGTGACGTGACAAAAATTCGAAACTTTATTCACTCTTACCATAAATGAGGTAGGCGGACGCCGTGGTATCCAGGCGTTTTACATCTGAATACCGTCGCGTTGCTGGAATCAATGTGTCAAGGTATCATTGCGTTTGCACGTCATCGTTCCGTGCCGGACAGCGCGCGCCGCAGTATGTAGTCGCTTCTCCGAACCTCTACACAACGCGCGCAGCGTTGGAAACGAGCGACGTAACACATGGCACGGGGAGAAATGTGCCATGTTTTGTTCGTTCCATGCCGTTGCACGTCTAAGGCGTTAGAGCTGCTATCACCGCTGCCGGTATTTCTGTTAGCTTTAACGTCAGACGGGGCGGCGATAGTAATAATCTTGTGATACGAAGATGTTAAAACGTTTTTCTACAGTAGAAGTAGCAGTTGCTGTTGTTGTTTATAGTTAACGTCACAGTTACGTGCAGCCATTGCCTCGTCTTCACTGTTAATCGTTTATCGTGCCATTATTGTTATTTTTTTACAAAAGTTGGGTATCGTTAATGTTGTATCTTTGACACTAATGTTTAACTATAACCACGCGGCAGAATGCACAGCATCAGAAGGGACGAGTACCTTATAGGCTAGCGCGTACAAACTTGTTCAGTCAGCAACTTGATTAAGATGCCGATGAACCGGTGCCAACAGGCCGGTCGGAAGTTTGGTGAGCTAGGACAAGCCTGTCTCTGACTGGCCACTGATGGTCTTCGACGTCGATTACCATTGTCAGAAGCTATGAGTTAGGGTAAGAAGGATAAAAAAAAAAAAAGGAACAGTGCTCGAGAACGACCGCACACAAAGAGGATTCATTAAAGTGATGTAAGCCATTGAAACTGCAGCACTCGTTTCAGGTGATCGCCTATCACAATGATATCGAGATGCCAGAGAGAGACAAGAAAGCCGGCATTACAACAACAACGCAGAAACATATACACACATGCACGTATCAGAAAACACGGCGGAACGTAACTTGGAATGATAGGCTTTCGTCTTTTTGCATCTGGCAGCATGAAGATGCTTAACAGTGGTCGACTGGCGATATATATGTTCTTTAGTGCGTTGTTTTGTGATTTAGAAAAACCTTTTGAAGCCATTCAACCAATAGCACTAGTAATACGATTATGATTGTTCTGTTGGAGTAGAACGTTCCATCGAGTCATCTTGGGACGATATAGTCAGTGGAAATACGTTACGATACCTAGACACAAACGAAGAAACGACCTATCAAACAGCAGCCATGATATTACGTTACACATTGATATCCAATAAGGCAAACAAACCGAGAGGAACGTAAAATCTTTCAATTGGGAAAATTTGTGTTAGTCCAAATCCAGAAACGGCGAAATTTAGCTATTTACATCGTACGGAAGATCATGTGATGCCCATCACGGCTGTGCATGATGGCCTGCGTCAGCATAACGCCGGTCGTGGCACTTATTTTACTCGAACCTCCTGTCGCAGTGTTCACATACATATGTATATATACGAGGTGTATACGACTATTATGACGACTGCGAAAAGCGGTTTCAAAGACCTTATCACAAATCGGCAATTGGCCTAGTCTGGTTTTTAAATAGAAAAAAACTCTACCGATTTTAGAGTTAATGATGTCCGCCAGATGAGTCCCTTTTAGCCCATACATTTTATACATGACATTACGCTTTTTTAAGCCACAAATTATTTAGTGAAGAAGCACGAATAACGCTCGACTAATAGATATGTATATGTACGTCACAACAATATAGCTGCGCCCCCTATAGCGCTTGTTTTATTTCATAGTGAGGGAATTGCACCTAAAAGGTGAGCAACAGCAAAATACGTACAGCGTTCACGTTAAAGTCTCCTCTCTAGAGGGGGCGTGGCAATCGCAAGCTGAAACTGCAACCAAAACATTGACGTTCGTGCTACTTCTGCTATAACGCGACACAGATCCTGGCCTGTGACGCGTCTGCTGCGTATTCAGAGCCGCCGTAAGCCGTCATATCATTATTAGCACGCTAAGTACATAGCGATCGAGACAAACCAGACTACCGCCATTGCGGAACTAGAACCACTGGCACAAGCGAACATAGAAAATATATGTCCCATAAAGTTCTCAATCGGAAATCGATAATTTTGTAAATTATTCGAATTTTACATTTCAGCTTATTTAACGGGTACGCGTAATACACACAACTATTACGTTCCCTGCTTTGGAACATATTCGAAATTGATTACTGCAATAAAGACAGGCCATTGCCAGGTACTCGGTGCTGAGGACTTCTGGCTCGATCTACAAAAAGAAAGCTAATGTTCATGAGAAAATATAAACGACCCCGAATCATTGGCACGTATCATATTAGCTTCTACATAGGTATAACATAAGGCATAGAGTGCTTAGTGGATTTTAGCTTTTTACGCAAGAGCTTAATGAAGAAGAAAAACGGTAGAAGATATAACAGTGTTGAACATTGTTACTATCGAACGAAAAGAATTGGCAGTCGATTCTTGACGCAGCGGATTCTGTATAACTGTTTGCAATTGGTTACAGATGCATTGAATCAGTCAGTTGTCGCGATTGCCTCCTTCCATGAAGGCCATGCGTGTCCCTACCCATGTTGCGTGTTACTCTGAGACTTTCGACAAAATCCAGTAGTCTACAAATAGACTATGGGATTGGAACCTTACTAATATATATGTATATCTATAGTGTAGGAGACGATATGGGAGAGAGAAAAAAAAAAAGCTGAAAACAGGGCGTTTACCGGCTAGTAGCTACATGGGCATACGGATCACGCTACAACTATTTGCAGTACTTGGTGCAAATTTGAGGCTTCCTACAGTCATGACTACTGTTTATATAGCAGTATGATTATAGCTCGAGCGCAACGTTAAGACCAAATCCATGGGAAACAAGTGCGTTTTCTGTTATTTTGACTGCAAAAATCACAAGAACGTCACCATTTCGTGCGTATAGTCATCACCGTCATTGGATGTGATAGTACACGATACAATGTTGCATCGTACGTAGCTGGCAGGGTTGAAACGCTACAAGGCGGCAAGGCGAAACATATTATTCCGTTGATCATTTCTCTTTGAAGTTGGAATTGGTGAATTATTATAGTGACGAGAACAAACAATTGATAATATTTTTATTGCACACGAAAATCATTGTGACGTTACACGTTTGCATAGAATAATTGTACTTATTATTGATAACAGCTAGGTAGTTTCCAACATGTAGTAATTATATCGTAAAATTGATACTTCTTATATTTACTTATCTATCTATACTAAACACCCATAAGTTCGTACCTGCTAGTTAGTCCAAAATGATTGAGAATTTCATGTCGCCCTTTCACAGCCAAATTTAGCGATGACATTATTCTACGCTTGCAACCGATCTACATCTCGACGATAGCAGTTGGGATCCCACCTAGGGCTCCCTTAAACTCTGATCTAAATAAACGTGACACACAGAAGTGACTCTCGTGGTGATGGCGCGTCCCAGAATCACCAGTGCCGCGTTTATTGTTGTCGTTGTCGCCATCTTGGTTTCTTGAATAACGCGCGGGCGATAAAAGAAGCTCTGTGGCTAAATGGTCTCATCACTGCACTACGATTTATGTGGACACCCTGTTGTTTTGTTTGTGTGTAAGGGATGAGCAATTGTGTGTGTGTGTGTGTGTGTGTGTCATACATTCGTTTATGCTGGGCCACAAAAATGTCATGAACGGTGGCTCCACGGAGACATCTAGGCAAACACACAGAATGACTTCAATCGGTCGTTGTTTGAGCAGCGGGATAGTTGAAGAAAAGGCCAATGAGAAAGCTTCAACAACCAGCCGCATATAACGATAACAGCGGCACAACCCAATTTCGAGATAGTGAAATGGGCTGATTTGACACTTGGCCGCTGTCCTAGCCGCTGGCGTCCGTTGTAGCTCTGTATTGTTCCAATGCCCTGTAGTAACAGCAGTGTAATCCTGGATCAACGATGACCAGATACAGACAGCAGGATAACCCGACAATTGATTATGAGACGTTAATAACAACTGCTTGTTGAGAGTACCGTGATTCCGTTCAGTCCTAGAATCAGCAGTAGTGGCGGCAGCAGCAGCCAAGTCCAGTATGAGAACAACTTATGCTGATAAGGTGAAAGTGTCTAATTGTACGTTTAGCTGAAATTGATGGCACCGTGTCCATTTAACGGGGCTTAAAATGACGGCACACAAAGTGTAGCTTCTATGAGCTGTGCATCGAGTGTCTGGCCCAATATTCCGATTGAGCATCTACTTAAATGCTTTCCCCTATTCAATAGCCGTTTCTTCATTATATTTACTCTATATGAGGTAGTGTGTCATATTATATATTCGTCGACAGCTAAATGGTCTCCCTGTCATCGTGTATACGTGTCAATTCAGTAAGGTGAAATTATGTTCGCCACTTCATTTGATGCCTCAATAACGAATGGTGCAATAGCAGCTGAGTTGAAAGTTGCTTTATGTATGTATGTATGTATGTATGTGTACGTTGAAACGTTTGAAGGAAAAGTTAGGAAAAATCTTTTATTCCAAATGTGATCTACCAGTTAATGTCTTGCTTGCCACGTTTCGAGAGACGTTCCAACAACGTCCGGTCTGAATCGTATCAGCATGTTCAACACGTCCACCTACTTTACGAGTTGCCCTATAATTACTAACACTCGAATAAACTCTATGATGTTTGTTTTCAGATGGCGGAGTAACTCCACAGGCGACATCTACAATACGCGCTTAGTTTGTGCATCGATAAAAAGGTAAAGCCCAAGTTCGAATATTTTATGCAGGTCAATCTAAGAAAAACTAATAACCTCAATTGGAACCACTTTGAACACGTATGTATGAAATTTCGTTTTACTATTCCCTTGATCGGCGCGTTAATTGTTCGTTGGCAACATCCCAGAAGCAATGGGTAGCTTTAAGGGATGGTGCCCACTATATACTTCCAAACAGGTCCGCGAAACGGTTAGTGGATATCGTCAAAATTCTACCTTGTACAATTGACGTGCGCACCAATCCCCTATAGCTACTTGCCAGCCCATTTAAATAGGACCGACGTAGTCTTTTTTCTATCTTCATACATGTGTACATCCAATGGTAGCTGTACGTAGAAAATACAAAATACGTTTTTGAGCACACAGAAGGCAGCTAGAAGCGTTTGTATATCTGAACGCGTCATAGTACAGCATCCACAACGGTAGCGCGCAGAAACGCGACTGATTAACGACCTACCGCCTTTTGGCAAACCACCAAAGCAGAAATGGTGGCTTGTCGAAGTAAAGTTTTCGACGATTATAAGAAAAAAAACAAAAATAGTAGCGCCTACTTCAGTAGCCCGAATAAACCGAAGTCCAAAGGGGTAGAACAACAAAGGAAGAGATCGAAAGCGGTGACTTGCAGAGAACTTTACCTAAAGCAGCCATTTTTGTCGTCGGCCATAAACAGTTTACATTCTGAGCTAAATTTCGAACGAATAAACGTTACAACTATCTACTGTTTACTTCGGCAAAGCGGGTCTCAATAGATTCTGTAGCGAAACACGATTACCAACAATAACAACAATACCAATAGAGCATCGTATTATACATTAAAAGTCGCATATTGGCGGCGCAATGAAGTAACATATCCAGAAATTTAAAGACGACTGACCATTGTCTTTTGGTTGTACCTGGTCGCATGTCACATAAAGACCTTCGAACGAGTAAAGGGTAAGCATCGAGGAAGCTTGAAAGCCACGTCATACCGTGCTCAACCACTCTGGGTAAGTTTGAGTCATCTCGAACAATCTAGCTTTGCTTGTAAATCCTTATAGTTTTTTTTTGTTCTATTACTCTATGGCGTATTTCAGTCGATTTTTGACGAGCGGCACAGAATCGAGTATGCAAGCGTAAACGGGACAGTCGATGACGGGCTTGATATACCCCGACTGCAGGAATTTTTTTACGAAGCAGCATCCCGAGATATCTACGTACTATACTACCATTAGCATTGCAGCGACCACAGCCATTGTTCGAGACGATTCTTTTTGTTCTTTCGAATCATACAAACACGTGCAAAACAATTATTGTACCGGTTGGCAACCGACAATTGGGCGGCCCCATTGGGCTAGTACGATTGTTTTTCTACTCTCGGACAACTTGAGTCCTTCTGCTGTTTGGCTGAATCAATGTTGCAGATACGATAATAATTATAAGCGATAAAATAGAAATGTGCAGTGGTAAATGTGCTCCATAATTGTCACAGTCATCGAGCTGCTGCGGCGCCAATAGTAAGCGCAAAACCAATGAGTTACTTGTGTTTCTGGCTGATTACAGCGAATGGTGCCACGTTGCTAGGGCTGATTGACGGGCTGCGTGACTTTACAGAATCGATCAGAACGAAGTCGAGGATATCCGATGATATTGTTGGGCCTTAGCTGACGGCAATCATAGTCGCTTGTTTCCAGCTGAGTACTGTCGAGTCCTGAACATATATTTTGTAATAGCACCTGCAGATTCACATAGAGAACAAAGAAAACTACTACCTGTAATTCTTAGCTAGCGAGAAATGGGTGCGACTCGAGGTCGTCAAACCTAGACCTGCGTTTCGTGCATCATAACTCGATTGTTGGTAAACGCTACCGCTATCGTCTATCAAAAATGGGAAAGCTACGAAAGATTATTGTTGAAGTACGTCTATATTACCTCATATGTTTAGAACCAGTAACATGGTGGTTAAGTGACGGAAGCAAAGGAAAAGACAACTCTGTCTCAATACCGACACCATCGAGACGGGGCTGTGTTTTTTAATGACAAGCAAAACTTGCAGTAAAAGACGTATACGCAAGGGTTAGTGGCCCATTTGGGAGCTATTAGACACTTATATTAAATTAATGCTTAAGGCCGGGATTTTGCTTTTTCACGCTAGATTGTTAAGTACCTTTGTAAATAGCAAAAGTTATTGGATACCGGCTTTGGTTGCCTCTAGTCTTGTAGTGCGTACCGTTACGACTCGGTGGGAGGCTCTAAAACAGTACGCAAAGATGCTATCCATGGATGCTTTTGTCTATGGGATCATTCTAGCTTAGCTTAGCACCTTAACTTGGAGGTATGGAAATCTGCTCCACCTGAACCAGAGCGTCCAACTTTACTACCTTACACCGCTCGTCCTACGTATGTTCAACGCAAACAGATTCGTTGTCTTTCTATTTGTCCGTTTTTATCCTATCAGTAAACTGAACTAAACGTGTACACAGAGCGGTTTAAAATTTTTTTCGGCATGATGCGGCATCATGTACTGCAGTGCCAAAACTCACAAGCAGCCTTACAAAGACTTCCAGTACCTACATGTCTTCTTACGCAAAGCCCAGAAACGACGTTATGGGATCGATAGTATCGATGATCCGTTAAATATCATCACTGGCCGTTGCATTACAATCCTTTGTTGAACATAGGCGTTATAATATATATACATCAACACTCTATATTATTAATGATAGCTATCAGAAAAGATGCAATAAATAAAGAATCAATACGAGCCGACAATAATGATACACAGAAGAGGCGCAGAACAACGTCAGCCATTCTGTCCAACTACTGCTAAACGTTGATAGGGAAGATCCAGAGAAATTTTACTTTACGTCTATGATCTGCTGCCATGGACCGCGTTTATGTGTCGGCCGAAACGCATTGCGAGCTGCGGGTCATTTCGTCACTTAGATTCGTTTTCTCACGGCGATATTCAGCAACATCAGGGTTTCAGGCAGCACCACCGCTTGGAAGTTGGAATACCGTTATCATGGCTATTGTCGTAAGCAAACGTGTTCACTTCTGGTGGCAGAATAGCATGCCTCTTCTGTGCGTGCGATGGGCGAGCAAAACGACACGAAATTGTGAAGCTCATCTATTGGGTGACACGATGCTTGCGGAATAGAGCTTTGATACCCGTGCTTTGTCTATGCGCATATATTTCAAACGGATCCCTCTTGTCTAAACTAGACAACCTTGTAGTGATGGCAATATTGACACTGATCCACAAGAAACTTTAGGGGCTCTTTCTGTTCTCCTTTTCATAATGCGAGTCCTTTTTTACAGCAGTACCCTTGCAATTACTGGTGAATCCTTGGAATGTTTTAAAGGAACATTAGCCTTTGCGTCAATGTATACAGTTACAACATTTCAATGACAATTGTTAGCGATAATGTTGAACTTGTGGGCCGCCATATTGCCGTGCGTGAACAATAGAATTTGAGCCTTTTCTCATCCATTACATTTTCAACTTATAATGTCAATACAATATTCATAATCCTATTACAGTGACATCACATAATTCGCCATCTTTTCCCATGCCCAACGCTTGAGCTAATTGTCGATACCCGAGAAGATCGCCTGTTTGCGTATGATCAGCTATCAGTCGTTCCTTGATACACTTCGTGCAGCAGCCTTTGCAATACACAGTGTAGTCAGATCTGAAAGTGCTCAGATATTTTACAATGGGATCAGTGTCAGCATGATACGACTATCAGCAATCGCGTGGACACTCGCGGTGTTCGGTGTCTACTGCGGACACAGGAGGCAAAGATACGAACCAAACCTTCTCGAGCCCCGTCACGGGCCCCTCTTTCTGATGGCAAATGCTAACCAGCGGGTACCAGCTCGGAACTAGACGTAACCGGAAATAATCACGAGACCATATAAAGCCAACTCGTACGGGGGTCAATCGGAACGGCAGAAGGCTGCGTATGTATAAATACCAACAAGGGACGTGTCCATAGTTAGTCGCCGCCATAGCGGCTTGGTAAGGTATTCACCACCGGCGATATATGCTTGTTTTTATTGACCCGTGATTACTGATGCTGCTGCCGTGACTGGCGTCATGCCGCCCCTTCCGTAGCTGCCTAATCATGCTTCGTTTCAGGAAGGCGGGAGGTAAAAAAGAAGGGACTAACAGGTAATTTTTACTTAATTTCAATACAGAGGGAACGGACAGCGATGATGGAGGATGGGAGGTCGCTTGATATGCCGGCGACATACACCACATAGAGAAATAGTAATGCTAAAAATAGTGGTGCCGTTTCTGACGGCGATCATTGTGCATCGGCAGTAATGTTGCCGGTGATCATTCTATTCCGCCGCTAGTATTCAACGACGATACTACAAAGCGCAGGCAGTGCTCGGGCAAAGGGCCGAATACATAACTGAATTTTGTACCCGACTAGCCTTATTTTGACTCTAACCGACAATGAAAAAAATATAACGATGCATCATTGGTCTTGCGCTGCCTACTGTTGGCTGCTGCCGCGTTGCATGTCAGGCCGAATTGCGTATTGCCGTACAGGTGCTCGAGCTAAAATACGGCTGCTATTATTGCTAACGATGCTGCGAATCCACTTAAAAATGAAACCGCTGATTCTCTCTATCACTCTCACTCGTTTTGTTTCTCATTCGAGTAGTTGTCTTTCCATATCACATTGCACAGAAAACCTCTACCTTGTCCAGTCACTCCCACGCGTTATCCGTCTGCTGTGTACGTGTGCGTTGCAAAGAGGAAGAAAAAGCCAAAGGTTGATTAGCGGCTGTTTCGACTGCCGCCGCTGCTGCTCGAAGGGTTGTATCGATACAGCGAACAAGGGCGGGATCGGATGGCATTGGGTCGCCTCGTACTTCGAATACGCGCGTTAGTGCCCGTTGCTGGGTTGTCCAGAAATGTCAAAGGTCTTCTGGCCTCGCCGGTTGATTGGCAATCCGCCAGCTAGAGTTTGGTATCGACATCGTGGCAAGCACAAAAACAACAACTTCCGTGGGCGAGAACATGGGCGACACGACCGTGTAACGGTGCAGCGACACGCTGTATGCGCAACACATCGTAGAGACTCCGATGCGTGTGAACGCAAGTGATGACCAGGTAGCGGTGGCTCTCGGTCGCCTTCTCTCTTTGTTACCGTTGTCTGCGGCAGCACTACCGCGGTAACAGACACATGACTAGACTTTATTTGTGCGTAATTGTTGGGGGTGGCAGCTGATGAAACTAGTCATGGTCCTGACTGCGGTGGGGCCAATATCAAACTGAAGACCTCCAAAGTAAAGTGAGAGAGAGAGAGAGAGAGAGAGAGAGAGTACCAAGTAGTGTCAGGAAATACTGCGTGCATTGCTCAGATCGGTCAAGCGGCGGCTAGAAACGTGTAGCGACCGGATAGTTGTTAAGGGTTCATAGGCGACAGGAATGACCCGTTATGCCGAATACCGCTCGCTCAATCGTACGCAGGAAAAAAGTAATTCAGTAACACATTGCTATCTGGCAAGCAACTGTGCGATAACCGAATGCAGCGAGGAGGGCTTATATGTGGAGGCGAAGCGTATGGTGTTGTCTTTCTCAACACTAATTATAGCTTGTTAATACTGTAGTATACAGAGTAAATACGGGAACGGCTATAGCCTGTCAAGAGGTCCTGAGTGCCGCTCTCGTTGCTTCAGGAGTATTTAACATGGGTTAAGGGTTCACAAGGAACAAAAGCGACCGTCAGTACAGAGAAAGAAGGTCTGTTATATATATCTGCATATTTGGGGCCCGTATTCTCGCTGTTTCTTGTGGTTTTGGTTGTCAATCAATCATCCGGATACAAAACCTAATCCAATCGTCGTTTGCTTTTAATCCAATTTGCTTTTAATATAACAATCACTAGTTTTTGTGCTGATCCATCTCGTTCGGACCCTATAGTTAAATTATATGCATATGTACATTTCCAGTTTCCCTGTACTCATGAACGGTTCTGATCATTCAGTA